CTGAGCTGCCCCCTCTCTCCGCGGCCGACCCGCTAGCTGCGCCCGCCGCTGCCACACTCCGCGCCAGAATGCCTTGTTTTTTGTTTTTTGAAACAGGGTCTCACTATGTAGTTGAGACTGACCTAGAACTCACTTTGTAGCCCAGGCTGGTCTCGAACTCACAGTGATTCTCCTGCCTCAGCCTCCCCAGTGCTGGGATTACAGGCGTGTGCCACCACGCCTGGTCACATGTCAGTTTTAAACCTTACCACTGGGCCACTGTTTCAAAGAAGGATAGAAACCATCACATCCTGCAAAGCGCCTCCAGAGCCTACAGGCCACCTCTCTTCTCTTGAGCTATAGTAGCCTGAAAACAGCTTTTTTAAAAAATATGTATTTTCCTGAAACTTTGTTTAGAGAAACATATGGAGCTTTGAAATGTCAGCACACTGGGAAGAAAGCAGGAAGTATAAAGAGTTTTGTGTTCCTGTCTCTTTTACGTACAGAGTGGGTTCAAAGTCGTGTTGAGTTAGAAAGAAAAAAATAAACAAAATGATCTGAGTCCGCTCCAGGTAACATCTGTCCACTGGGACAATCACTAGCTTTTGGTTTCAAAAGGTTTTCCATAGATGGCACTAGCTAGTAATGAGATGTTTTCATTCTGTCTCTAGAAGGAAAATTGGAGGGATCCTCTTAGAGCCAGCCTCTTGGGCCATAAATAAATGTCTTCACCAGAGACAGCAACAAGAAAACCTCAGCAAATGACAGCTTAAGGGTCAGGGTGTGGGGGGTGCCAAGGCTGATGTCACTGCAAATGAGGGACAGCTTTGAAGGTTCTGTGATTAAGAATGCTGAGCACAGACAACAGCCGGACTTGGCACACGATGTGACTAACTGATCTGTTTTCCCACGTGGCAACTGCTGCAGAAAAATTCCCCATCTTGTCTCACATGAGTCAACAGAAATCTGCAAGTGTCATAAAATGTCAGTGGACACATTTCTGCCACCAGGACCCAGGAGAGGATGGCGGTGGAAATGGGAGGAAGGGAAAGAAAGGGAGCAAGGAGAATGGTTCTCCTGTCACACACAGAGGGTGAGCACCCAGGCCTGTGAAGGACAAGCACGGGAGACAAGGACGTCCAGCAGCACTGCGGTGAGCCCCGACATGACTCTGTAGCTCCTCCCCACAGTCACAAGCTGTCCCAGCAATTCCGCACGGTCCAGGACCTGCATGAACAGGCAGGAAAGCAAGACTTCACTTTTCTAAACTGATGCTCACCAGACTACTTTATCCACCAGGTTTTCTAGATCCAAATGCAGGTCGCATGAGATTTCAAGAGCCCGTAAATCTGCCTGACTCTCAAAAGAAACAGTTATTATTCTGAGCTACATTAGAGCACTTCAAGACTCCAAGTTAATAAGTGCCTAAATAAATGTGCATGAAACAGAATTACATCCATTTCATTAATTGTGGAATTGATTGCTCATGAAAATTTCATTACATTTGAAAACAATTTTAAGGTTAGATTTTATTTCATTTTAAAAGAGTTCCCCAGTGTGTATGATGACTGCTGAGAATCAGAGACAATTGTAAATCAAATGAGTCACTCACTGCCAAATGATTTCACAAGCAGAATTACAATATTCCTTTGAAAAAAATTTCAGCCAAAATTATGATTCATGTGGAAGGTAAGCACATTTAAATAACTTTGCTAAGACAGGAAGGGAGAACTTCAAGGGAAACAGAGCAAAAGGTGATGAGGATATGAAATCCTTCCCGGCTGGTATTGTGGGTTGTTTGTTTACTCGCGTGCTCTGCTGCAAGGTCCTTCCTTTTGGGCACCACATCGGGTCCCTGAGCGTCCCCACTCTGAATGCAAAACTGGGGTCAAGGCTCAGAGAAACCCAAGAACAACGACTTCAGTCCATGTAGGAGTCAGTCAACAGATGCTTACGTGTCTACAGTATTCCCAAGAGATCTTTTGGGGCACTTAAAATGTAGCAAGGAGAAGGAATAAATCCCTGTACTGATGGAGGCAAAGACTGTCATCAAAGAAGTCAGATGGGTAGTATAAAAGACGGAGAGTGTGCTGAGGGGAAAAAGCAGAGCAGAGAGAGGGAGAAGGGTGAGGGCTGGACTTGCAGACACTGTAGCCAGGAGAGGTCTCAGTGAGCAAAGAACTGAAGTCTGGGAGGAAGTCATGTAGATATCTGAGGGAGAAACATTCCAGGCAGAGGAAAAGGAAAATGCAGTGGCTCTTGGCTATGAAATGTTTGTGTAGTCTGGGGAACAGCAAGAGAGCAGGGCAGGACAGCGCCTTCCTGGAGGAGGGATCGAGCCTCATACTCATTCGCTAAGGTAAGAGAAGCATCTGGAAGCCGGACTGGGCAGGGCCTCATGCAGCATTGTAAGGACTTTATTCTGCTTTAGATGGGAAGCCAAGGGAAGCAAAGGTGTGACAGGATCTGATTTCTAGGTCAACAAGTCTGCTGTGGCTGCAGTGTCGCACCCAGGCCAAAGGTGGCCAGCACAGAAGACAGGAAACCGTTTTATATTGCCGTGACCACAACTATGGCTACTGCAACCATCCAGGTGAGGTGTGAGGGTGGCTTGGGTCAGAGTAGGTGCTGGAGATGAGGAGAAATTATAAGATGCTGGATTCGACAAGTCTCTCAGTCCTTCCTTGTTAGTCGGGTGCATCCTCCCCATTCCGTTCAGAAGAAGTAGAAGCAGATCACGCTCAGAGCTGGACAGAGCATTCCAGGAGTCCTGACCACTGCCGGCCTCCCAGTCACCTTGCACCCTCAGCAGACCTTCCACCCTCCTGCTGAACCCCTGGTCTCCAGTGGCTGCTGTCTTGGGAGAGAAAATAAATTCAAGATCAAAGCAAGCTGCTCACACACACTGCAGAGAAAGGAACTGGAACCGGTGGTTTGCGGGAGCTTTCTTTGCCCTCATTTCCCACAGCTGTCTCAGGGGCTTATAAGCTGTGCTTGCTGAGTGTCAGTCTCCCTGGTATTCATTTCTTCGGGGACACCACAGCTGTTGTTTCTAGAAGCACAGATGATTTTCATACGTGTGATCTCAGCCCTGGCTTTCGCCTTGAGCTTGACTTCGGGGAGGACACAGTGCCACAGAGGCTTTCACACTTTCACATGCTGCTTCCATGGGGCTCAGCACACTCCAGGACGCTCCAGGCAACGAGGTCCTGGGGTACCTTGGCCTGTATCAGGTAGGGGAGGAAAACACATTGTTCAATTGGGAGTGTAGGTCATTGGTACAGCGATTGCTTAACATGCACAAGGCCCTGGGTTTGATCCGAGCACCAAAACAGAACAAACAAACAAACAAAAAACCCCACATTTTCATAGTCTAAAAGGAGTACACATCTATTCAAAAATGCTCCATCAGGGGTCAGGGATTTAACTCAATGGTGCCACCACCTGCTTCAAAAGCACAAAGTCCTGAGTTCAATCCCCAGTACAAGAACAAAAACAAAAACAACTCAGTATGAAATTATATATATGTTAAAAGTAATAATTCCTACTCTCTAAGATAAAACCACCAGAAGTAACCTTCTTTCTGGCCTTCCAGGTTCTAGATGCTCATAGATTTCCTGGTGTTGATACATGCAGTTTAACAAGTTCCCTAGTGGTTCTCAGGCAATACGTTTTTGAAAGACCCCTTTTCCTATACCATCTCATTAATGAAAAGACCATGTATTTGCATAGAGTTTTATGTACAAATACTTTTGAAGAAATTAAACACATACTCACAGGCACAAAGGGATTCACACAATACAAATTGAATTTTTTTTTTTTTTTTTTTTTGGTACCAGGGATTGAATTTGGGACCTTGTGCTTGGGAGGAGGCAGTGGCAGCACTGAGCTAAGGCCTTGTCATTTAGTTTTGTCTCTACAATGTATCATTGATAAACTTCCCTGTCCGCAGATGTGGTATCTCCTGCTTTTAAACAGTTCCTTAATATCTCACGTGTGTGAAAATGCTGCATAAAAGGGCACTTGCTTTTGTTTAAAGTGTGGCCTGCGAGGTGGAGATTGGCTAGGGAACGACCGTCTATGACCTTGGGGTGCAGATAAATGTGGCTCCTCCTCTGACCACTTTTTTCCATGACACACAAATTTAAAAGGGAGGACATTTCTTTTTTTTCTCTCTCTCTCTTTGAGTTTATTGGTACATTTTAGGTACACAGTATAGTTACATTCATCATTGGGATCTTGTACCTTTACATGACAGGTCTTGGTTCTCATTTTTTCCCCTTGTCCCTGCCCTCCCTTCCCCCCTTCTCCTTTCCCTATTTACAAAGACTTTATTTCCATTTTTTTCATTTTCTTATTTTTTTTTAAGGAGGACATTTCTTTAAGTAGTGTTGGACCTTTTTCATTTCCATTTTTAATTTTGATGTCATTTCAGGCATAGAAAAGTGGCAAGCACAATGTAGATATTTTACTCACATCCCCCAAGTGTTAACAATTACATTTATTTTACAAACATGTCGAGAGCAATTCTACATACATTTCGGGGGGAAAAATCATGTCATAATTAAAGTACAACTATAGCTGTCTAAGGCTCAATGTCACCTTGCCCATAAGCCAGTTATAGCATGCGGAAAAATAATTCCGTTTTGCCTAAGTCACAGCTGAAGCCTCAAGGGTCCCGTGATGCTGTAAGCACTCAGTGGCGAGATTTCATCAGCGCAAGACATCCTAGTTCTTTGAGAACAAAGCAGTAATACAAAAAAGAGAGAGGTTTCACCTGGGGAGAGACTAATTCCTTGTCAAACTTAACTCATCCCACCCACCATGTAAGAATGCTCTCCTTGTAGTCCTCCTCAACAGAAGAACCTCGTGACAAGATCCCCACCAGCTCCTTATTGTCCAAGGGTTGTGTCCCCTTGTCCCCTGGTGCTCCCTCCAATTATTGTGTGTACCCAATAAATGATGTCCAGCTCGGACAGTCTTTGTCTTTGAATGCTCTGAGGCACTGACCTCCCTGGCCCTTCATGTACTTTGAATTATGCAAGTCTCTATGGTCTTTTATCTTTAGCCCTCTCTGTCCCCCTTTGTAGGTAGTGGAGGACAGAGCAACCTCTGATACAAACACATGCATGTGCAAGCTTTTGTCCTGAACATTTGTGAGAGCCAGCTGGTGCTAGTGTGATCAATTCTTCCCACTTTTCCTGGGACTTTCCTGATTTTAACGCTGAAAACCCTACATTTGGTAACCTCATCGATCCCAGGCAAAGCAAAATGCTTAGTGATCTTTGTTGCAGCCAAAATGCCTACTTACCTGTAAGTACTTGTGTGTCTGCACTAAAAACAAAAATATAGCCCTATATAATGATTAAAATCCAGAAATTTACATTGATACAAAATATTACTCAAGCTATAGATCTAACTCAGGTTATGCCAATCTTACCTATATTGTGCTTTATAAAAACAAACTATTAGCTCATGCATTGCACTCAGTTGTCATGTTTCCTTTCTGTTCTTTAGTCTGGCCTCGTTACTCAATCTTTATCTCTCATGACATTGATATTTGTGAAGAGTGTAGAAATTCTATAGAAATAATATGCATCATGTCCTTTGGTGTAGGTTTGCTTAATGTTTTTCATGATTGAATTCACATTATTTTTTTGCCAGGCACATCACAGGTGGTGTTGATTTATCTCATAATGAGGTATATTAACTCTGATAACTTGATCGGGGGTTGCTGCCAAGTTTCTTCCCTAAAAAGTTGTTTTCTTCATTACATTTAATAAGTGTGTTGTTGGGAGATATTTGGAGATTACGTAAATATCCTGTTTTTCATTAAACTCTCCCACTTATTTTAGTATCCAGTGATACACGCATGAATCAGTTATTTTTCTGATAGATTAGACTTTGTTTTTGAAAATATTCAACAGTGGAAAGTCTTTA